TTTTGAAAACATCCCCAGCACGCTCATTACCGACTCTATGGCTGCTTCACTCTTCCGCAACCGCAAGCAAGAAAAGAACATTGCGGCTGTCATCGTTGGTGCTGACCGTGTCGTTCGCAATGGTGACACAGCTAACAAGATTGGTACTTACCAACTCGCTGTTCTGGCCAAGCACCACGGAATCAAGTTCATTGTCGCTGCTCCTACAACCAGCATTGACCTCGAGACTGAGACTGGCGATGGTATCAAGATTGAAGAGAGAAAGAAGGAGGAGCTCACGCAGGTCACAGGCGCTGTGATCAAGCCCGATGGTACAGTCGATGAGAGTAGCAAGGTCCGTGTTGCGACCGCTGATCAGCGAATCAACGTGTGGAACCCGGCCTTCGATGTCACTCCCGCCGAGCTCATCGACGCCGTTGTCACAGAGAAGGGCGCCATTGAGAAGGGACCTGATGGCAACTTTGACTTCAGCAAGATCCTGCCTGAGCGCTGGGCCAAAATCACTGGTGCATAAACCAGCTTTACGATGTCATATTTCATTTGAGCGAGCTATGATATCCAACATTAGACTAGAGCAGCGGAAAATTGTGTTTCTATTTATTGCTTCAACGCATGAAGAATCAGCTTTTGGTATCCTTCAACGGCAGTCTCAAGATCAGCAACGGTCAAGTTCTCCCTCGCGCCATGTGCAACAAGAATGTTTCCTGGGCCGTAGAGATACCTCGTGTGGTCACCCTTGAGGTTGGGAATGTCTGTTCCGTAGTTGACGGTGATTTTCTCAAAGCCTGGACCTGTTAGCGACGCTCCCACAAGAATTCGCTGTACGTACCATCGACATCGCAGTTTGCTTCCACAGGTCCGTACCCGTGGGTGCAGTCGAAGATGAAAGCATCCTTGTCGACCTCGTCAAAGATGGCTTGGATCTTGTCATGAACAATTACATGTCCATCTGCCTGCTTTCCGCTCGCGACTCGCACAGCCAGTCCAACCTTGGCCTCCTCAGGAATAACATTAGCGGCCACACCACCATTGAAACGACCAATGTTAACAGTGGTGTTACCAAACAGCTCGCTGCTACCAAGATCGGTGTCGAGCACTTTAGCGAAGGCTCGGATCATCAGCTCGTTGGCTGACTTGCCGAGCCATGGGTAACCACTGTGGCCGGGGAAGCCCTTTGTGGTAACGTCACAACCCAGCATGCCCTTGTGTCCGCAGGCAAGCTTGAGCTCAGTAGGCTCTCCAAAGATGACAGCGTCGAGACTGTATGGAAGCTCCTTGGTCTCAATGGCCTCGCTGAAACGGCGCATTCCGTCGCCCTTGACCTCCTCGCCGACAACGAACAGCAGGACGATCTTATGGGGATCGATCTTTCCATGCTCGATGAGGTTCTCAACTGCAGTGATTTGAGCAGCAACGCTACCCTTGGCGTCGACACTGCCTCGGCCGGTGATCATGGTCTCCTTTGTAACCTCCCCATCATCGATTCCATATGGGATATGCGGCGGAACGACATCAATGTGGCTGCTCACACAGACCTTGGGATCGAACGTCTTCTTTCCGTCCTGTCGCCAAGCCAGCACATTGAACCTCGGCTTTCCTTCCGGCGTATTATCAAAAGGCTCAACTTCCTGACGCGAAGTAGTATATCCCTTCTTCTCAAGATATCCCTCAAGCCAAACTCCCACATCATGTTCAGTTCCAGAAACCGAGGATGTCTCAATTAGAGACTTGTGCAAGCTCAGCAGCTCGGATCGGTACGAAGGCGCATCGTCGTTACTAGCAATGGCGTCGGAGGAAGGCTTTTGGTCATAATCTCCAAGAACCTGCTGCCAATCGAATGCAATGGCCAGAGAGGCCGAGGCCAGAAAACTGGCGACTGTTGCGACGCGCATCGTGGGGAAACAAAACGGGTTTGTGTAGCTTAAAGTTTTGGGGTGGAGGTTGGGGAATTGAAGGGAGCTTGGTCAATTGAGCTCGGATATTGGTGGAGAAGAGCGGAATGACGCAAGTGGCCGATGTCGGGTTGTCTGGGGTACCTGGATGGTCTGGTGAGATAAGAACGAGATAGGATGTTCTTTTGGAGAGGACAGTGGCATGATATGAATACCTCTATTCGGAAGGTCTATAGATCGATCGGCGAATAGCAAAAGCCGTATATAAACAGATGAAAACTGCTGGGTTACCCCACAGTGAACAAACTGCCGCAGTAATACTGCAATGTTTCCTTGAACAGCTCTTCATTCGAGTTCGTTCTATGCACAGGGCAATACTCTCGTATTTCTCGGCTGTAGTCGGCATATGAGTGTTGCTTGTCGTTTATACTGGTAAACTGCGAGACAACGTATCGACACTGGACCTAACCTATACCTCGACCTACCATACTGGTTTTGAACTTATGTGAAGACTTGTCAAACCAAATATGGTCGATGGCACTGGCATTCCTATGGATTCGTTATTCTATCCCTTTTATCGACTACTCTTGGCCTCTATCTTAACGGCTTTGGGTTAAAATCACGCCTCTGTATGTTCCTTCGCGTACCTTGCTTGGCTAGGGTGTTATGGCATGACCAGTGAAATGCTTGACTCAACACGATCTGGCTCTACAATATTGCACAAACTGTTACGCAAGAAATATCGGGCCACGGACCGTCATGTCGGCTTGTCCTTCCGATCAGAGCCGACTAGTTCCACGATGTTGGAGATAAGCGTAATGCGGGGTTGATAGGTTGTTCTTTTTTCACGGTTCGACAACTGACAACAAGGATATTCTGTCTTGCCTGTTTAGGATCGTATTATATTGACCCTTGTTTCTCGAGTATTGATGGGATCCGAAGCCAATTCTGTTGTTGTTCTGTGTTATTGCACTGCTCCAAAAGCTTGAGGATCAAGGCTCAAAGACGGTGGTGCTTGGCTTTCCCTATTCCGAAGATTCCGGCCAAATCTGTCTTTTCTTTGACATAAAACAAAATCACATCTTCTTTCTAGATATGTTTACTATTTTGTAAGTTCTGTTACTGCTCTTTGGGAGTTCTCAGAGAGCTCAGGGTAAGTTTAGAGAGAAGCTTGTCATCAGCTTGAAAGCCGTGGTGTAACTAATTCAGATTATCAGGTAATTTTCGTTTAAAGTGAACCGATCACTGCTAGGAAGATACAATGGGGTCCCTTGATGAGGCTTCATGGACTGGAACGGCCTATGTTCAAGGTCGAGCCACGGCCAAGCTCCTCACGAGTGATCTTGAGCTAAGCTTTTGGGGAGGTGTTGACCCTCAGACCAGTGAGATCATTGACCGACACCATCCATTAAGTGGACAGCACCTTCAGAACACCATCCTTGCTATTCCAGGAGGGCGAGGGTCATGTACTGGCAGTGGTGTTATGCTTGAGCTGTTACTCAACGGCAAAGCCCCCGAGGCAATCATCTTTGAAAGAAGGGAGGACATTCTTACTCTTGGGGTCATGATCGCAGAAGAAGTTTTCAATCAGTCTATCCCCGTCGTGGTTCTAGATAAGGAAGACTTTCGACATCTTATCCGACTGAACGGAGAGACGATATTTGTGGACGATGGCTATGTGTCCACCCACCCACCTTCAAAACACCGAAAAGGTTCAGTGATAGACACAGAAAGCGGTCTTATTCTTGAGACTACTCCAGCTCTAGAAGGTATCAAACTCTCAACACTGGATCAGGAGCTTCTAAGAGGAGACTACGGCGAAGCATCCCGCGTCGCCATCAGAATCGTCCTCCGTATGGCCCATCTTCTTGGTGCAACACGTCTCATGGACGTAACACAAGTTCACGTCGATGGGTGTGTCTACACAGGTCCTGCAACCCTCGCTCTAGCAGAACGACTTCGCGACTGGGGCGGCAAAGTCCGAATTCCAACGACACTCAACTCTTTATCAGTTGACCAAAAGCGCTGGCGAGCTCTTGGTGTAGATACTACTTTTGGAGAAGCGGCCGATGCTCTTGGCAAGGCGTATACAGATATGGGGGCACGGCCAACCTTTACTTGTGCGCCTTATCAGCTGGAGAGTGCCCCGAAATTGGGTGAGCAGATTGCTTGGGCCGAGTCGAATGCTGTTGTTTATGCGAATAGTGTTTTGGGGGCCAGAACTATGAAGTATCCCGACTTTCTGGACATATCGATTGCTCTGACAGGAAGGGCACCTAAAGGGGGTCCTCATCTCGGCATCAATCGAGTGGCATCAGTTTGTGTGAAAGTCGTGGGGCTGGAGGACACGGCAATTCTTGACGATTCATTTCCACCATTACTGGGATATTGTGTTGGAACTTTATCGACAAGCCGAATACCTGTGATAACAGGCCTTGAGAAGCTTGGTCTCTCAACAGACGATCTGAAGGCCTTCGGTGCAGCCTTTGCCACGATATCGAGTGCTCCAATGTTTCACATCGTTGGTATAACGCCAGAGGCACCGAAGCTTGAGACAGTGCTTGCCCCTGAATTCACCTCTGTTGAAGTCAAGCTGGGTGATCTGGGAGAATGTTGGGATAAACTCAACAGCGCACCAGCAAACCAACCCATCGACCTAGTATCACTGGGCAACCCACACTTCTCCCTCGCCGAGATGCGAAAACTCGCCAATCTTTGCCAAGGGCGACGAAAAGCCGCTAGAGTATCCGTCATCGTTACTTGCGGTCGATCAGTGTACAAGCTCGCTGAACAAGCAGGTCTTATTGCCCAACTAGAGCATTTCGGGGTGCAGATATTGACTGATATATGCTGGTGCATGGTAACCGAGCCTGTGATCCCAACGGCGGCAAAAACAATCATGACGAATTCTGGGAAATATGCTCATTATGGACCGGGCCTTACAGGGAGAGGGATGTACTTTGGTAGTCTGGCTGCTTGTGTTGAAGCTGCTTGTTCAGGAACATATGAAGTTGAAAGGCCTGAGTGGCTTCAAAGTAGAGGAGTCAGATAGAAGAAAAAGCCAATATGGAATTTCTAAGAGGTGACAGGAATTTTCCGAGTAGTAATTCATGAGTCAATCTCGAACTCTTTTCTAGCAGCCTCCTCTAGTATCGGTGCAAGAATTCGCTTGCTTGAGGCATCAAACAGACAATCAACCCAGAGAACAGACTTCAAGACCTTATGCAGTTCTAGCCATGAATATATCCCAAAGTCGCCCATGACTTCCAAGAACCACTCCTCAATAGCTTCATCACAGATATCATGAACAGAATTTGTTCTCCAAATCACCAGAAGCCACAGAATAACAGTACTAGGCGGCTGAACCGAAACCTTCTGCAACTCTCTTAACGCATGCCTGAAAGACTCATCTAGATATGCTTGTCTTTGCTTCATATCTCTCCATCGAAAGAAGATACTCGCAGCAAACTTCATCATTCCAAGTCGAAAAGCGTTTTCTGAAGCTGATTCGGGGGATAGAGCGAGCAGTCGGTAAAGAATAGATACCATGGCTTCGCTAAAGATATTGGGTTGAAGTTTTCGACCAGTTTGACTGGCAATGTTGCTGAGCTTTGCGAACTCTTCAAGATCTCTCCATACGTGTGATAATCTAGGATCAAGAGTTTTCAAAAAGGCTACCATATCGTGGTTTGCATCCAGATGCTTCTTTTTACGGCGGACTAAACCTTGATTGGAAAGGTATGGATTCCAGGATATGTCTTTGTCGAAAAATACTGGCCTGCAGCCGAAGCGAAGGGCTAGGCCAATATCGACTCTACCAGATGTCAGATATTGTCTGAAGCAATAGAGGTAAGCACTTACCTGCAAACTTTGGCCGGTAATCTGGGATTGTCAAACCTCAGCATCTCAAGTCCTCCCCTTAAATCCACTATCCTCGCCATCCCAGCAGCGTGATTCCCAGCTGCTATCCTATCGCCTAGCATCTCGGCTGCCAGACCCAGAATAACAACTACCATGATAGTAGCATCTGAAATAGACCTTGGGTGTGTAGGACTGTTTATTCGTGCCTGAAGAAGCCTGAGAGTTTTCAAAAAGTGAAAGTGTGCAAGACTGCCGTATTCTCGCCCGAGAAGCATGTCAAAGTATGCTTCTACCGAAAACATTATGGAGTGGAAGTATACTTGGTCAACTAGGAGGTTTGTAGTCCAGGATGACTTCATCTCATCGACTTGGAGACATATTTCAGTGGGATATAATGATCCTCTCATACCATGAAATGCTGCTTGATATTAGCTTAGACAAAAGCTGTAAAGAAGAGGGACTAACATCGAAAAATATCATTTTCCATGTATGCTTGCAACGGCTCAGGAAAATCAAGTAAAGAGAAGTTTGTCCCAACGCGACCTGGTATGGTTCCATCAGGAACCTGCAAAGTCATGCTTGTCTCCTTTTGGTTTAGTATCCATGATGTGACCTGGTTTTGATCTTTTCGAGCCGAGTTAGAACGGGCACGACTTCTTACAAGTCTTTGATTCTCTTTAGATTTATTCAATGGCGTTTGGGTGATGAATGTGAAGCTTTGGTCTACTTGGGTTAGTCAACGTGTGATGACTGGCTGGCGGGGATCTTACTGTGAGAGGACTGCAGTGTCGATTTGAGCATGACTTTAGGTGACAATACAACCCGTAAATTGAATAAGTTGAGTATTTCGAGACCTTGGAGTGAACGGGTAGTTAATTCAAGGTTAGGTCGAGCATGTCAGCTCACGTTTGCTGTAGATGTAATCACGGATTTCGGGTTTATTAACTCCGAGCGCCTAAGTCGTCGAGGAACCGCATAACTGAGTACCTTAAGCCACCTATCGATATGGAAAATTATGTGAGTTTTGGATTATTCTTGATAGTGATGCCTTTCAAAGATCAAAGAAAGTCGAGTATCACTGCGAGAAAAAGCTACAAGAAGGATCAAGATATCTATTATATACCGTCTGGCTCAAACCAGTATTAATTCTAGGTAAATCGAGATCATAAACCAGACAAAATACCCCCGACGCCGGCAAAGTCTAACTCGTCCAGTGTCTCGTTCCAAACCTGATCAACCAGGACATCACCATGTGTATAAAACCAACCCGCCAGCCTAAAACTCAGTTAGTAATTCGTATCCACACTCATCAAGAATCAACTTACGGTGCAATCTCACAACTCATTAAGAAACACCCATGAGACTCCTTCCCATGTCCATAAACAGCATTAGTATAGCTCGCAGCGCCTCTATCAACAGGCCTTCCACAAACCGCAAAGAACGCCCCTGCAAGCGCTCCAGCAACGCCACCCATTTCATGATGGCCTCCAAGATTAGTACCCTTTGTAAGACCTGGGTCAACCATGTTGATAATCACATCATCAGGATTGACTTTTTCACAAAGTCGTACGAGGAAGAGCTGATTGAGCAGCTTTGAGACACCGTATCGTTCTTGGGAACTCCATGGTGTGATTTTGGGGTCGTCGAAGGATGCAAGGAGTGGGCGTTCATCTTTGTTTGGGAACTTGCAGAGATGGGCTGTGAGAGAGTTTACTGTGGTGAGACGAGGTTGTCCGTGACCAGAGGTTTTGGTCTTGAGGATGGGGATGAGAAGGATTGTGAGAAGAGCGGTGCTGAGGTGGTTGACTTGAATACCAACTTCGTGACCTGTGCCAGGTACAATTTCAAAGTTGTTAGGTGATAGACCAGCGTTGAGAATAACAAAGTCGATGCGAGAAAGCTCAGTGTCACATCTGTTGGCAAAAGTCTGGATAGAATCATAAGATTGCATATCAAGTTGCCAAACATCAATCGTAGCAGACGGGGCGATCGTTCTTAGCTTCTCAGCCGCAACTTTGCCCTTTTCAAGAGATCTCACTCCCATTATGAGATGAGATAGACCCAAGGAGAGGAGCTGTTTAGAAGCTTCGAAACCAAGACCTGTGTTTGAGCCGGTGATGATGGCTGTGCTGCCTTCGACTTGGGGGTATTTCTCTCCGGTGGGAAGTTCGATGGTGGTGCGGAATTGGTTCTTCCAGAAGACAGGAAGCCAGAAATCTGGGAGGGGAGACATGTCTCTCGAAGGAACGGTAGGTGAGGGTTTTGGGTTCTTTTGGCATGGCATTTTGATGATGGTGATGGTCAAGGATGACTGAAGAATATGGAATTTTGGGAAGGCAGAAGTCGAAAGGGTTGAGATGGACAATCTTCATGGCCTATATAAACTACAAAGAGAGATATTCTACATGTTTTATACCCGAAATCAAATTTCATGGCGTTATATAAACTGCTGCTCTTAGTCGGATTCTGGACTGAATAATGCTGAAGCTGTCCCGATTAGGAAATTGAAAAAGTCTTGGCATTCTTCCAACGTCGTCATGGCCAATCAGAGACTCGGAGTATACTCTCTGAAGGCAACATCACAGCCATTTAGATGTGTCGAATTGCGTCGAATTGCGTATGATGGATGATTGCCTTGTGTTTAAGAAATGAGATAACGGAGTTAAGACGAGTGTTCACGTCAAGTCCGGCTGCTGTCCGTCTTTGTCATGATGAGTAGCCCGGTCATGAACAACCATACCATGATGTGCCCCAAAGCCTGGGCTAACAGACAAAGCAAAACAAAGAGAGTCGTGGCTTGAATGAGGCTATAGTTGTTAAATAAGAATTCAAGTTTCTCCAACAATGTGAGATACAATTCTTATCAGAATTATCTGCCGACCTAGACGGCAATGTAATACACGCCCTACAATGTAGCTGGCCCAGTATCATAACATGTCTAGTGTAAGTTAGACCGAGGATAAAGTGGTTACCCACTCCCATCAGCTCGACACAATATGTCTAGATTCAACAATCACTAGCAACTAATTCCAATCACTATCTCTAGTATCGTCTATACCCACAAGTTCCCCGAATCTCTCCCGATCTATCGCCCTCCCCAGCTTATCTCCTCCCCACCGTGGATAGCCCACGATATGCCTCCCCCCGCCGACTCCGACTCGGAAGCTACATTTACCACCGACTTCACTGTCTCGTACTGACTCGCTCCTCGAAACACACGCCAAAAAGCAAATGACATGTTTTTACCCCTCGTGTCCCTTGCGCCCTACAACACACTCACCCAATCACTAACCCCAATGTCAATGTCTTGGCTCTCAGAGTGGACCATGCCATTCGTGCCCCGCGATGCCGGCAACGGAGGGGTCCAGGGGTAGCGATGCTTTATTATCGAGACGATTCCCTTGGCTTTGAGGTTGTAGATTACTTTTGAGATTCAATTCTATTGCATTGTACGAGACAAAATGACTCTTGTTACTCTTCCCGAACCCTTTGCTAGCATCCCCCGAGAGAACTTTCTCTTCGGCGCATCGCCTCTTCAGCCCCTCCCCAGAATATCCGCTGCTCTCGGTGGAAAGGTCAATGTCTATGCGAAGCGCGAGGACTGCAACTCCGGCCTCGCCTACGGCGGTAACAAAGTACGAAAGCTAGAGTAAGTCGCTCTCCCAAACTCATCCACAACACAAGGAAGCTCATCAAGGATAGGTACCTCGCCGCTGAGGCCCAAGCCCAAGGCTGCGATACCCTCGTCTCCATCGGCGGCGTCCAGTCCAACCACACCCGAGCCGTAACCGCCGTCGCTACAAAGCTCGGTCTCAAAGCCGCCACCGTCCAAGAACACTGGGTTGATTGGGAAGACCCCGGCTATGAAAAGGTCGGCAACATTCAGCTCTCGCGACTCATGGGCGGTGATGTGAGGCTCGACCCTTCGACATTCGGAATTGAGCACAAGACGACTCTTGCCAAGCTCACAGATGAACTCAAGAGCAGCGGCCGCAAGCCGTACTACATCCCTGCTGGAGCTTCAGACCATCCCCTCGGCGGTCTAGGTTTCGCACGATGGGCATTTGAAGTTGAAGCCCAAGAGAAGGAACTAGGAATCTTCTTCGACACCATCATCGTATGCGCCGTAACAGGCTCTACATTCGCCGGCATGATCGCCGGCTTCAAGCTCGCGCAGAAGAACGGCTCTCCCGCGCGAAAGATCATCGGCATCGACGCCTCTGGCAAAGTGCAGCAGACATTCGACCAAGTCCTGCGCATCGCCAAGTCCACAGCGGCCAAGATCGGCCTCAGCGAGGACGACATCACAGCGGACGACGTGATCCTCGACCCCAACTACAACGCCAAGATCTACGGCATCCCTGACGAGACGACCATCGAGGCTATGAAGTTTGGCGCTGCTACTGAGGCGTTCATCACGGATCCTGTGTACGAGGGCAAGAGTTTGGCGGGCATGATGGATTTGATCAAGACAGGGAAGATTGCGAGTGGGAATGTGCTTTATGCTCATTTGGGAGGTCAATTGGCGCTTAATGCTTATTCTTCCTTGTGATTTTATACATGATAGATTGTTATTTGAGCGTGAATAGAATTGATCGAAAATTTGCCCATTTCTAGAATAGTATGAGTATCTATGCGAGCCAGGGTAAATAGACGCTATTATCCAGTGTGCTTATTGGAGCTCTCAACCTGACATCCTTACATTCCTTAGACTTTTTCATTTCTAATATTTTATTCACTCAAATATTCCAAAGGTTGGATCTTGGTCATAATGGGCGATTCTCAAGACACAAAGGTAGCTGTTCTATCAGCTCTAACAAACTTCTTCAACATCTCGTCCAAAAACCCCAAAGATGCCCGCAACCACCTTCTCGAGACCTCTTACGTCATTCAGGCAACCCCAGACACTATCGAACAGACGACACTAGGAGAGCTATTCCTCCGCGACGCAAAGCAAAAGGGACATCTCGAATGGGCCATAGACGAACCTCAAGAGCTCTTTATTCACGAGAAGCTCGCTGCAGTATGGACCGGATGGTCCACCCGCGCTGATGATGGTACTATCATCAGCCACAAGAAGGGAATCCTTGGATTAGCTTACACTGATGGACGTTGGAAGGTATCAGGTCTGGCTTCGACAGAGCGATGTTTGGAGACACCCGACCCAGAAGATAAATCAACTCTCACACAAGAGATCATGAAGCCCATCAACGCTCTTCTAGACGACTTCTCCCACCCAGACTGGGGCGTTCTCAAACAGTGGTTTCTTCCCAATGCTGGTGTGACTCTGTACAGACCACCCGCTGAGCCAGCGCCTATGACCATGGAGCAGTCCATCCTTCGTCTGCAGGGAATGATCAAGAGTGGTATCACTATCCAAGAGAAGTTACATGATATTCAAGTCCGAAAACACGGTGATATTGCGTTGGTTTGGGCGCCCTTTGTGGTTGAGATCAATGGGGTGCCTAAACATGATGGTGTGAATGCGTTTACGCTTTTGAGAAGGGAAGGGAGATGGGTATTTAGTGGATGTCAAGACTATGGTGTTTCTCTTCAGTGAGAGATGATTGATGTGCTTGCTTCTCGATATCTGAGTGGTGTCTGGTGAAGGTCATGCTGGTCTATTTATTTGGCGCTCTGCCTGGAAGCGATGAATCTCAAGGACTATATCGGATGCCTGGATGTTGTTTATTTGCGACCGATAGCGTTTCTGTCTGTTTTGTTTGATCTCAGATTTGCACACAGGTGAAAGACCGTCCCAGTCAGTATGAAATTCCTCCTGTTATTGGGGTGCCCGGTGGTATGGCTCAAAGGGCGCACACGATGCATATGAGAGTGAACGCCTTTTACCAGTTCATCCATGAATCCACACCCTTGTAGCCATTCCAAGAACAACACGTATTACAACTTTGCCTTCTCAAAAGAAATAAAAAGAGGCGGAGCGTGTTTATGCATAATGCTTTGTTCAGTTCAGTGTTTGTACACCAATGCTGCTGCTACCAACTGCCTTATGCAGGTACCATGCAGGCTCCCGTTTCTTTGCGTACGTACCCTGAAAGGGAATTTTATGTTGGGAAACACATCTGATATTTCCTTGGTCATTGAAAATGGACTGTCATTGGCTAAAATATTGTCACATTTGCTCTTCTTTTTGATATGCCCTCTTTCAGTTGCAGCGACTTGCTCTAGAAGCTTCAGCACCACAAAGTTAAGACGTGTCAATATTTACCACTTCAGCTTCTGCAATGTTTCCTTTATTATTCTCGTTGCTTTCTTTCTGGTCATTCTCCTCATGAACCATCACCTAAATGGGTCCTGGACAGGCTGAAGTCTGCATGGGCTGCTGGTCTGTTCACGCCAATAGAGAACAATAAGACTGCTTGAAGTGAGCTATCAAAAAACCCAAGCCCTTGTCACTGGTAGCAATCAATAAGTTAATAAGCTCTCAAAGATAAAAATACTTCTGCCTGCGACTTTCTATGTCTATCAGCTATCTCAATGACAACTCCACGATACTGCACAGGACTAAACTACAGCAGCAGTCTCTACGTTATCGGCCAAAACAAATCAAGTTGCTAAATAACTTTCAGGTTTAATGTTACTGCAAGGCGCTGGAGTTGCACGCTGCGTTATTCGTAGGCTGCCACCTGTCAGGACAACAAAGTCCAATCATATATCTCAAGAAGTGACAAAGCCTAGCATACTCGATGCCATCCATGTAAGCAAAGATCCAGAATGCTGGTATTCTTTGCTCTCAATTTGATTGGCTCTTTGATAGACAGTCTGCTTTGTTTATAGACGCTGGAATAATGCCTAGAGAGAGGCTTCCACTGGGCTCCATGCCATCATGCACCTAGCACTGCAACAAGCGTCTCTCACGCTTCTCTATATTATAGTCCCAATCAACGGGGCAACCGTTCTCATGCGACTATAAATCCAAGTCCCTATCAATATCGAATCTTCTTCCTTCACCCCACTCAGCCTTTACTTCAACCGCCACTTGATACTTGAGTCTCATCTTAACTCATTCACTCGTTTTCATCGCCCAATATGGCAGACATGTCTTACGAAGACACTCAACATCTTCTTGACTCTATCACCGATCCGGACTTCGACCAGCGTCTGATGGGCCACACGAGTGGTCTGGCCACCGAGGAAGCTGACGAAGTAGATATGTTCGCTGGTCTCAACGATTCCGCCCTTCAGAACCCTCATGCCGAACTTGGAATCGAGAACGAAGATCTCCTAGCATCCAATCCCTTTGAAAAAGAGTTCATGGAAGCATACGAAGCAGAAAATTCTCGCGCTCAGGCTTCTTCAGGGTCCGATGCACAGTTGAGTGGGCCTAACAACAATGGCAGTACTATCGCCGACGATGATAGTCAAGTTCCTGTCTCTACTGCTGTCACACCCGCGACCCAGTTCTCTTCACCTATGAATCCGGAGGACTACTTACCAGAGTCGTTCCAGACACAGCCATATCCGCCACTTAACAACCAGCCTCAGCCTTACCCTGCTCCCATGGGTCAACCATTCTATGACCAGGCGGTCCTTCAGCAAATGCAGCCCTTCCAAGTACGACAACACACTGGCCTTGGTGGACGTCAGATGAGACAAGCTCAATACCCCCAGCAGCAACTTTTCTTCTCTATGAATAATCAGCTTCACCAACCTCTACCTGGGCAAGTATCTCACCCAGCCTTTCAACCTCACAATCCTCCTCCTCAAGGATCACCTCGCAAAGGCCCTGCCCCCAGTGAACCAACCCGTCACAAGATCCCAACCAACCCAGCCAACATCAATCCTCACACTGTAGAGCAGCAGTCGCTCCTCTCAGAGCTGCAGCACTTCACCCATGAATATCAGGGCTACATCACGAACCCGGTCCAAGCTCGCCAGATAGGCAATCTCTTTCTCTCCCTCGCACACCATGAAGTGACAGTCACACCGCCAGACATGGATCCCACATTCCCCAGAACGAACGAAGCGTATCGCGCTCGTGTGCAGGAACTCTTCATGGCTATTGTGGACTGGTCGAATCCTAGGGGCTGGCGAACGAAGATGGGATCGAAGCTTGCTGTGCAGTGGGTTGAAGAAGTCAGGGCCTATCGAAAGAGTTTTGGGCTTTCTGTTGAGCCGTCTGATATGCTTGATCACCAAATCGAACCTCCTCTTGAGAGGATGCCTCCTGTCAACGAGCAGTGGAAGAATGTCGTTCACCGTCAGTTGTCCAACATTGAGATTGAGGTTCTCAGTTCCAAGATTCTCGTGAGACTGTCCTTCATTTTCATGTAAACTCTACTAACCAGATTCATAGGACTCAGCCATGTTGTCGCAGCAGGACCGGAACTTTGTTCCGCTTTGGAGTAATGCCGAGTGTCAGTGGGAGCAGTTCGCTAGTTTTGGAGAGCGTTAGGAACGCCTCGTGAACGCTTTTCGAGTAAGTCAACCCTTTTTCACTTCATAAGCGACAACTAACTTGACTAGGACAACAAGGTTTTGATTCACTCAGCCCTACGCTCATCGTGGCTCTCCCGAATCACCAACTCTCCAGTCGCCGAGCTTGTCGTAAGTATATAGCCATCCTTGTATTATGTGAGTACTAATGTGAGATGCAGCGCAAGGAGAACAACAAGGCTGGCAACGACAAGAAGCGGAATGCTGCTAGCCGTCTGGGTGGCAGGGGTTCCAAGAGACCTCAGAATGAAGAGAGTGAAGGTGAAGAAGAGGGACGGAAGACGAAGAGGAAGAGGAATTAATTCTTCGATTTGATCGGCGATATGGTTCTTTTGCGCCTATATACGATTGGCTATATCGGGTAATTTGGGGTATTTTGAGGTGCGATTTTCGAAATGGTGGCATTTGGCATCATTGGATGGCATTATATACGAAGCACCTTGGGGTTCGACTTAGACAGCATAGACCAGACGAGCATAGGGATAGACATGGACAGTTTGTTTGTATACCTCGTAATGGGAACAACAACTTGTCACAATAAACAGGTACTCATTACAGCAGAAACAATTGGGAGAAATTTGTTATCAATTATGGTGTTGAAACACCCGCTTATACCATCCATGCATACTTTATCTAGCCGAGTTGATATTCTCAACTGCCTACATTTTTCCTTGACCTATTCTTTTTTCATGTTGAATCCCCATCAACGCCAAAAACAAAACACCTCGCTATCACCGCCTACCATCCTCGCCCGGCAAGCTTCTCCTCAGGCTTCATGCTATCACAGTTAATTCCCACCATAGCCTCGCCAAGCCCCGTGCTAGTCTCAGCGAGCACCTTGGCATCCTTGTAGTGTGTAGTCGCACGCACGATGGCCTTGGCCCGCTTCGCAGGGTCGCCCGACTTGAAAATACCGCTGCCGACGAACACACCGTCGCAGCCGAGCTGCATCATGAGCGCGGCGTCAGCGGGCGTGGCGACTCCGCCGGCGGCGAAGTTGACGACGGGCAGACGGCCTAGCTCTGCGGTCTGGCGGAGGAGATCGGCGTCGACTTCGAGCTCGCGGGCGAGTTCGCGGATGCGGATGATGCCGCCCTCGGCGAGCGCGGCCTTGGCTTGCGCGATTTGCTTGTTGACTGTCTTCATGTGTCGCACGGCCTCGACGACATCGCCGGTGCCAGCCTCGCCCTTTGTTCGGATCATAGCAGCGCCCTCTGCAATTCTTCGCAGCGCCTCACCGAGGTTTCTGCACCCACAGACAAAAGGAACACCAAAGGTGCTCTTCTCAACGTGGCTCTCGTCATCAGCGGGGGTGAGAACCTCGGACTCGTCGATGTAGTCAACACCAAGAGCCTCGAGGATCTGGCACTCAACGAAGTGGCCGATGCGGGCCTTTGCCATGACGGGGATGGTGACGGCTTCTTGGATCTGCTTGATCATGGCGGGGTCTGACATGCGAGCTACGCCGCCGTCTTTGCGGATGTCGGCGGGGACTCGCTCGAGGGCCATGACGGCGCAGGCACCGGCTTCTTCGGCGATGCGGGCCTGCTCAGCGTTTGTGACGTCCATGATGACGCCGCCCTTGAGCATCTGGGCGAGACCGGCCTTGACGGTGAAGGAGGACTTGGCCTCGCCGTTGGAGGCGGCACCAGTGTTGGAGGAGTCGTTGGTCATGGTGAGGATGTGATGTGAAGTAGTAGTAAAAGACAAGGTAGTGGGGGGTATGAGGGTATGGTTTGAGTTGGAGTGAAAAGAGAGGGGAACGGGTAGTTATAAGTTTTTTTTGAGTCCAATGCAGGACAGAGTCAATGACTAGAAAGGGTATTACTCAAAGAAGAAGTTGACAAGAACAAATCTCAGGTAGAGTTTCTCCTAGTCTGACTGTTAGGTAACTAGCCGTACAGTACTGTATGTACCTCCGGCCTCCGCTTCCGCCTCCGCACCCGGTATACGGCGCCGTGCATGCGGAGTCAAAAAAGGGTCCAACTGTGACACCAATTGTACTGAGATGCAGCCGCGGCCTCCGAATATGCAAGTCTAATGCGCCATGGCCACTGTGGAAGACCCTAAAACCCCCCGGCATCGAGCTCCGGCCCATCTTTAAGCGCGCCCTACAACAGCAGTAATTGGATGATTCATTGACATGTGCCGATGTCTAGAGGCGGCAATTGTCGGGAAGACGAGGCTCAAAAGGGTACTTATGCACTCGTGAGGAGTATCCAAAGAGGGGGATATGCATGCATTGTTCTAGATTTCTTGTGATATCATGGATGGAATCATTTGGTAGATTGCAGATAATGTCTCATCTCATCTCACTCATCTCACTCATCTCTTATCTTGCATATGAGTTTGCCACCATACGCCATCTTGTCTCTCATCTAATGTCCACACTCCTTGTTCTCTCAGCCCTTCTACTCCAATACCAATGTCCTCTAGTAGTTAGTAAGTAACTGACTCAATATAGTTCAACCACCTCCTCAACTCTTAATTCTTAGCCCGGAGAACAATCGGGGTAGTCCGGAGGTACTCTCGCCCTAGCGGCTCCGTCATGCATGCAGCCTTCATGCGCTCTAATGCACGTCTTTATCCCTTTTGGGTCACTCCGGTACCCATCACCAGAATCTGGGGAACGCTCACTATCTTGTATGTTATGTCACTTGCCAGTGACTAAGACTTTTTTTTTGCCTTCGGTGAAAGGCTCCGAGTTTAAACTGTCCGTTATCGCTCCTTGTCTTTATCATCTTACGTTTCTCTGGCAAATCATTGTTGTTGAGAACTTCAAGTCAAGATGATCAGTCTTACGGTCGGTGTCTTGGCCCTTCAGGGTGGTTTTGCTGAGCATGTCGATCTTGTGCGAAAGGCCGCAGAGTATCTTTCTTCTACGGAGGGTATATCCAAGGCGAAATTTCACTGTATCGAAGTTCGCACAAAAGAAGAGCTTGATCAGTGTAATGCTCTTATCATTCCTGGTGGCGAGAGCACCACTATCTCTTTCGTCGCCGCTCAATCTGGCCTTCTTGAGCCATTGAGAGATTTCGTCAAGTAAGCAGCCCCCGTATCATAAGATGATACAAATACTAACATAACTCAGAGTTCAGAAGAGGCCAGTATGGGGAACCTGCGCAGGCCTTATCCTCCTCTCAGACGAAGCAAATGCCACCAAAAAAGGTGGTCAAGAACTCATCGGTGGTCTCGCAGTCCGCGTTCACCGCAACCACTTTGGTCGGCAAATGGAGAGTTTCGAGTCAGGAATGAATCTCCCCTTCTTAAATGACGATAAGCTCTTCCCTGGAGTTTTCATCCGCGCACCCGTCGTGGAAGAAGTCATCGGTTCCTCTGACGATGGACGGCCACCAGTTGAAGTCCTAGCCAAGTTGCCAGGCCGAGTAGACAAAATGAAGTCCGGCATATCACAAGCCAATACTAAAGACGATTCAGGGGACATTGTCGCTGTTAGACAGGGTAATGTGCTAGGAACAAGCTTTCACCCTGAGTTGACAAAGGATGAGAGGATACATGTGTGGTGGCTGAAGGAGATTCTCAACCAGCAATAAACACAGCGACATGGACGGCGTTTTGGGAAAATAGAAATATTAATTATATTCAGGGGTATCAACCGCTTATTTACTCTGTTTCTTATACTTTGCCCATCGCTGTATCATATCCAGGCGGGGGCGGTGAATGCGCTCTAGCTGGTCCTCTCTGTGAAGAAGATCCAAAGCCCAATATCTGCAAAATCTCGAGATCGCCCATCGACTGCGCCAGTTCCGCCGGTGAAATACACCCTCCGACATTCATATCCGCTCCATGTGCTTTCAGAACCCTTATCAACTCCGTATCCCTCCTCGAAATAGCCTGCATCAACGGCGTTCTGCCCTTCTTATCCGCTGCGTTAGCATCAGCGCCAGCTTCGAGAAGAAGCTTGGCCTGATCCCTCTTCCCGTTATCAATAGCGTAGAGCAAAAGAGTCTCGCCGCTGCTCATCTTCTTCTTGGTGTTGGAGCCAGCTGCGAGCATCATCTTGACGAGGTCCGTGTTGCCTGTCTCCATGGCGAAGCATATCGCTGCGACGCCCCATGTTCCGTCTGACACGTTTGGTGAAGCGCCGTGGTCGAGAAGCATTTTGACGACTCGAATTTTCTCGTTCTGCGAGAGTTTGCTGTCGCGGAGGGCGATGACGAGAATTGGATGGCCGACGAGATCCTTTGCGCTGGCATTGGCCCCGTGCTTTAGAAGCAGTTCTGCCATGTCAAGTTTTCTCTTTGCGATAGCGTCTGCTAGTACAGATAATCCGCTCAGATTCTTTGAACTTGCGTTTGTTCCATTTTCAAGAAGAAGCTTCATCATATCCATACGGTCCTGGCTCGCAGCAATAGACAATAGCGAATTACCTGAGAGATCGCTAGTGTCTGGATTCGCGCCGTGCTGAAGCAGCATCCTGACAAGCTCCAAGTTACCCTTCTTGACAGCCTGTGCAAGAACTGGCCGCCCAGAGGTATTGGTGGTGTTTGGCTTGGCACCGTTGTCCAAAAGAAGCTGAATACCCTCCAGGTTCTCGCTGTTGCATACGTCGACAAAGTATGATTGTCCAGACCAGCTGGCAGCGTTGACGTTCCATGTGCCCTGGTCGATGAGCATCTTTGCAACGCCAATGCTTCCAACTGACGCAGCCAAGAAGACCGGTGGGATCTTCATGTCTCTGCCGTTGGTGTCAGCACCAGAACCGATAAGGAACCGCACGGCGTCTTCTTGATTGGCCAGGATAGCACAGCCGAGAGGTGAGTTGCCCTCTCCGTTTCGTCCATTGATGTTCGCTCCTTGTGCAAGTAAACCACTCATTTGCTGAACATCGCCTCGAAGAGCGGCTTGACAAAGGGCAGTGGATAGAGGATCGGGCTTGGGCCAGAGACCAGCTGTCATGGCCTTGAACGAGTTTGTCAACGAAGATAGACCTTTCGAAAAACCGGAGGATCCGCTTGGTGATTCGCAGCTGGGAGACTGAGCTGAAGAAGGCTGTGCTGGTTCATAGGGTGGAGGTTCGATATCGCCTGGGAGAGGTCCTTTACTACTCGATGCATAAGAGTCGTTCTGCGATCCGGTGAAGAGAATATCCTTGGTCTGCGAAGCTTTTTGACAAGCTCTGTTAACGTGATCAAATATCTCTCTTCCACTCTTGGTATCGAGAGCAGAATCTTGATCACCTCGAACATTGCTAGCACTTGATAAATAAACGCTCACACCACACAGCGAGATGAGCACCACTTACATCGACAGCACCTTTGCAAAGAACGCAAAGAGCCGAGAAAACGCAACAACAGCATCACTATAAACCACCAAAAACACCTCATCCAACAACGGCAGCGTCTCGGCCTGCAGTCTCATAACCTGCTTGTTCAACACAGTCGCGACAACATCGCACGATCCAAGACTATGACTTATCGTAGTCTGCAATCTACCCGAGATAGCACTGGCGCTATTCAGCGCAGTCTCGAGCACTCCCACATGCTGATGGAGCTGATACAGCCTCGTCGCGAACGAGGACAGTCGCTCGTCGGGGACTTGAAGCGCAGTGTTCAATTCATTGAGCTCTTCGGCGCTGGACAAGACGCGGTGAGAAATACTCGAGCCGAGCGAGGTAAGTGAAATAACCGAGAAGCCGTCTCCGTCCATTGTATGTGGGGAAAAGGTTAAGAAGGGGTCGTTGGTGTGGGGGATTGTCAGATCGACTGAGTGCAAGCTTCAGCTATATAACCATGGGAAATAACTTATATCACTGCCTACCTATTCCCAGTAGTAGGGCTGGTAGCGGGAGACAAAAACGCCTAAGAAGGCTGAAAGTGATCCAAATGCGCGTCGTGTGCTGATTACGCGGTCTGTCGACTGCGACACGCACGTGTATATCACATCACAGACGAATAGAGGCATAGCTTTGGCTTGGCTGCCTCTTTTGAGGCTGTAAACTAGATCCTACGGCGAGCTTGACAGGGATGGGAGCTCTTCGGTGATAGGTGCGGAGATGCCGTAACATGACGACCTGCCTCATTGATTTGGTAGATAATGCAGTAAGAGCTGCTCTGCAATAGGTTCTGTTTATTATTGACGACCTATTTTCTTATCCCTCTCAAAGTTAATCATCGCTTACGCCATCCGATCATTATACCCTGCACATCCACGTTGCTAACCCCAGACTCTCTCGTATCTCGTATTTTCTCGCGCTCTCTCTTTATTTGGGGCTCACGAGCTTGGATTCTACACCCTCGATACGCTGTTCCTTATCGATCTTTATACCCAGCATATCCACGTTGCTAACCCCGGACTCTCTCGTGTGGCTTTGACGTGCCATCGATAGGTTGTTCCTTTGCTTTTTCAGGCTTCCCCATAAGCAAGAAGAAAAATGCCCCGAGTGCGAGACCAACACCTCCCAGTATGACGATGTGCGAGCTATCTCATCATCAGCCACTTCTTCAACTCTACTGCCTGCGCATAACTCACTTGTCAACCTTGCTCTCGGGTTTCTCGTAAGATTTTGGTCCAATAGGTTCCTTCTCATTATGTTGAAGTAATCTCGT